AGAGAGAGAGAGAGAGAGAGAGAGAGAGAGAGAGAGAGAGAGAGAGAGAGATAAAGATAAAATGAACCTGGTTTACTTCATAAGATTTATTCAGTACAAACTTGTTTCGTATGACAAGCAATGCTTGCCACACTCATCAGGTGAATTTAAATGGAACGAAACGAAATAAAAGAAAAACAAAGAAAACGAAAAAAGGAACGATACGAATCAAAAGGAATCGTATGTCGGACATACTGAAGGACAGTTCAAATCCAGATATTATTGCCACACTAGCTCATTCAGATTAAGCAAGTATAGAAATGCCACAGAGCTGAGCAAATACATCTGGCAACTTAAAGAGTCGAAGGTCAAGTACTCCATAAACTGGCGTATTATTAAGCAATGCAAGAACTACAACAACACAACGAAACGCTGCAGTCTTTGTACACATGAGAAATTCATCATAATCTACCGTTCTTTAAATTCAAGCAGTGAACTTTTGTCGAAATGCAGACATAGAAACAAATTTCTCTTAAGTAATATACATTACTTAATATAATCTGTATATATATATGTAATCTATACGTAATTTAATACTTGAACATTCCGTTTACGTCAAACATGTATATAGTATATATAACCTTGGCAACAACATAGCGCGACATTTAAATTCACCTGATGAGTGTGGCAAGCATTGCTTGTCATACGAAACAAGTTTGTAGTGAATAAATCTTTTGAAGTAAACCAGGTTCATTTTATCTTTATCTATATTAGCTCTATACTTCGGTATATCGAGCACTCTACTCATATATGATTCTAAATACATATTTGGTATATATATATATATATATATATATATGCCCTCCAGAGGGCATATATATATATATATATATGCCCTCCAGAGGGCATATATATATATATATATATATGCCCTCCAGGGGGTTTACTACTCCTACAGTACTACTTGTGTTGTGTTTGCAATGAAATATGGTACCGGTAAGCATTGTAATCTGTAGACAAAGATACCCTAATGTTAAATTATGAAAGAAAAAAAAGTAATGAAACGAATTTTATATAATAAAGCAAATATAAAGAAATATATTTCAATTGATATTGTATGTAGCAGTCAATGTGACATTTGCTAAAGATATAACAAGAACAGAACACAAGTCACAACACAACACAACAAACATCAAGTTGATAATTTAGTCAATATGCCACTGGCATTAATAAAACCAGGGTGCTGAACCACTAGCTACTGCTACTGGCCTTTGGCCATGCAAATCTGCAAGGGTGACGGAACACATAATTATCACCTGCTGATATCAACATGTAAGTGGCAATCATAGGTGTATTCTGTGTGAAGTTCATACAGAAGATCAACAGTTATACCTCGACTTTTATTGTCAATTGTATTGCGAATTTTGAAAATCCATGCCAGAGATCTTCGTACGAAGATCTGGGTGGAAATACTTAATCCTTTAAGTGGCAATGCATCCTACTTTATTATTTTACTCTTTCTAATGCCAGACGATTTACTCATCAGGGGAATGTGCTGCCACAGTGCCACTCAATGGGTTAAGAGCAAGATTGTCTGACATTTGGGGGCATTGCTAATCAATTGGTTAAAATTCAATTCAAAATTTAAAAAAAATTAAACAAAAAAAAGTTTAAAAAAATTAACACTGAGAGCAAAAAAATAAACAATATTAAAAAATATTTAACACTGAGAGCACGAATTTATAAACCTTTCCCTAGATGTATACACAGTGGCATCATTCTAGTTTTAATATTTTGCAATGCAAATGTGTCTTGAATATCATTACTTCCAAACAATAGTTTATACAGTTGTCTCTTAGTAAAGTTGTACATGTTCCATCAGTGTATTCTCTAGACAGCAGTAAACACAATCTTTTGCTACAGCAATACTTCAAATGTTTGTGACAATAACTTCGACTTTCTTCTTATACACGTTTTCAACATGATTGAAACCTTTGTCTCACTTGTTAAGACCAATGGTAATAATAAACCAGCTTCGCCAAATATCCCGCACTCCTGACAGCTGACATTCGTCGAAATTTTCCGCCTTTTTGCTTGTTTATTTTACTACAAACGCGTCTAAAACTAAGCAGTATCCCCCTATATTTGTTATTTTATCCATCTGAAGCCAATCGGCACAAGAAAACCGAAAAATATTGCCATTTAAGTGTAAAAACCATGTTGCTGTAGAACAGTTCTAAACAATCCCACTCCTCTTTCCTTACTAACAACATGGCGGCCAAACATGCGCGGCATGACATGCGCAAGGACAAAAACTTCAAAGGTTCCGACCCGAGTGAGATTACTGTTCAGTCCTTATACTGTGCTTTAGTTTAGTTTTAAAAGTTTTAATTTGACGTATATTCTGGAGTTCCACAGGCAGACTATTCCAGTCGTTGGCAGCATGGTAGCTGAATGCCTGCTTCCCCCAGTTCTTCTTCACGCGTTCCAAATGTAGGCTATGTTCTGTTTGTTTCGAGTGTTGTAGCTGTGGATGTCAGAGGAAAACTTGAAATTAAATTTAAAATCGACGTCATTGTTTAAAGACTTGTGCATGATTAGACAACGATGAAAGTGTCTACGTGTTGTTAACGGCTGCCAATTTAACGATCGTAGGGATTCTGAGGCTGACGAGAGTGGATGAGCGTCAAGAATGATTTTAGCGGCTTTGTTGTGAAGAACTTGAAGGTGGGTCATCAGGACAGAGTTGTTTTTATCACCCCACACAAAATCAGCGTAGTCAAAGATCGGCATGACAAGGCTGTTTACTAGAGTACGACGAGATTCAACTGTTAGGAGGTGCTTGACTCTTCGTATGATACCAAGACGTTAATTAACTTTGGTAAAGAGTGCTTCAATATGATCTGACCACGATAATGTCTGATTTTAGGTTATACCAAGATACTTAAATGATTCAACACGATTTAGTGGGCTATTATTAATAAGTAGATTTATATTTTGTAGCCTTGGCAAGTTTGGCATTACTTCCGAAAACCATAAATTTTCATTTAGAACTGTTAATAGTTAAACGGTTAGCACCAAACCAACGAGATAAGTTCTGCAGGTCAGAGTTTAGCTTTTGTTCCAATTCAATCGTGGTTTTAGCTGAGCAAAACAGGACGGTATCATCTGCATACAGAGAAATGTCACAGCTGTTAACAGTGGAGGGAATTTCATTCACATAAATGAGAAACAGTAAAGGACCCAGTATACTTCCTTGGGGTACTCCAACATGTACTGGTTGAGTGGACGACTGTTCAAGGCCAATAGAAGTGACTTGAAAACGATTAGAGAGATAAGAAGAGAACTAGTTGATTGTTGGCTCTGAAAAACCAATAGTACCAAGTTTCTGTATGAGACGATCGTGACTAACCGTGTCGAAGGCCTTCGAAAGATCTAAGAAAACTGCACCGGCGATAGAACCTTTGTCTAAATTATCCAGAATGTTGTCAGTGAAGTAGGTGGGAGCAATTGCCGTGGAGAGTTTTGGGCGGAATCCAAATTGTTTCGGGGTCAGGATATTTTCACGAAGTAGATAGCTATAGACTTGACTATGAACAGCTCTTTCAAGTATTTTGCTAGCAGTTGGTAGAATAGTTATTGGTCTATAATTATTGGCATTGCAGCGGTCGCCGGATTTGAATAATGCAGTTACTTTGCCACATTTCCATACAGCTGGGAAGACGGAGGTTGCGCTAATGAGCGGTTGTAAAGTTTAGTCAAACTTGTTGTGATAACGTCAGCGGAGTCCTTTAGCAATCTGGCACTGATGTTGTCCAAACCAATCGCTTTGTTTGTTTTAAGACTATTTAGTTTGGATTTAACAAAACACTCATCGATTACATCAAAAGCAAACATTACGCCAGATTCAAGATGGTCTTTACAAACGGCAGAGGTGATGGTAGACGTAACTGTGCGAAATTTATTAACGAGTGTTAAACCAATAGTCGAAAAATGATTATTGAGAATTTCGGAGATTTGCCTGGGTTCGGTAGATGGAGTTCCATCGACTTCAATACATGAAATGCTAATGTTCGAGCTCGATTTACGTGAAGTAATTTCATTGAGGTGTTTCCAGAGAGTGTTTGGATTATTTTTAGAGATTTCAATAAGATTAAGGTAGTATTCCGATTTACTCTTTTTTACTTGTCTATTTACGTGGGATTTCAAACTTTTGTATTTGGACCAGTCAGAAGGAGAATTAGATTTGGTAGCTTTACGGAAAGAGCGGTAGCGTTCCTGCATAGATGTTTTCAACTTGGATGTCATCCAAGGAACATGACAACATTTTATCCTAGTTCGTTTCGTAGGGGCATGACGTTCTGCAACATCTAAGAACAGCTTATTCCAAAAGCTTACTGCCGTATTAATATCGGGGATTTCATCAACAATATTCCAGTCTACATTCCTGAGCTCATCCAGAAATGCTTCTTTAGAGTAATGTTTATAGGAAGTATATTCGATTGTTCTGCCAGGACTCTTTGTTACACCAGCCTTGACAACACAGTAAATGAGGGAGTGGTCGCTGATATGTACCGGTAACACACCACTTGATACAATGCGATGTTTATTATTAACAAACAAGAGATCAATTGCTGTTGAGGAGAGTTCGTTTATCCGCGTTGGAGTGTCGATGAGTTGGTTTAAATTGTTTGTACTAGCAAAAAGATTAATTTTTTGTTTCAGGCTGTGACTAGAAGTATTTCTTTTGGCAAGGACGTCAACGTTAAAGTCACCGAGTAAAACTAGTTCAACGTCCTGGGGAAGTAAGGAGATCTTTGAATTTAAAGTATCGATGAAATTGGGTAATGGTGCATCAGGGACTCGATAGATTGACCAGATGAGCATGTTTTTACATTTCGGCCGATTGAGTTCAAGGACACAAGACTCTGTGTTCTCATCTTGCAAGTCAGGCCGTGCTCGATAGGGTAAGCCATCACGAATATAAATCATGCACCCACCACCTTTTTTGCTTTTACGGTCATTTCTGACAAAAGAATAACCTTGAATATTTAGTTCAGGATCAGATATGTTTTTGGTTAACCAGGTTTCGGAGATGGTCAGGACATCGAAAGGATTATTAAGAAAAAGAAGGCGCAGTGAATCTATCTTATTAGTTATGCTTCTTACATTTAGATGTGCAATTTTAAGTCCACGGTTACTTGGAAAACCAATGTCACTAAAATTCTGCGAATCTTGAGAGATATTGGCAGGTCCAGGGTTTCGGCTGACGTCTCCAGCTAGGAGTACAAGGGAGTAAGCACATAAACCAGCGTTTAGAAGTTTAATTCCGGCTCTAACTTTAAAGGATGGTGATATATTCGGGTGATTTGATTTACGGGGACATCCACAATTCCTCTTTGGATAACTTGCGATATCAGCACCCATAGATATCACGAGCGACGCGTCTGGGGTGACCACGTTCCATGAGTTACACGAGTTGAGGACAATGAAAAGGAACAATACCAGTATGAGTGAAGAAAGCCAGAAGGCAATATGTCTCGACATAATGTCTAGATATGAAAGGTCTCGTATAGGTTAATTGAGGTTAAGTACTAGACAATTGTGCTTCAACACAAACAGTTAGTTGTTGCCACGGTAACTGAGACGCCGCGAATTATTCAAAAATCCCAACGGTCAAAATAAGGTATACTACGCGATAATTCAAGCTGTCTTCAATTAAATAAAGTACAATTTTAACAGAAGACTAGGAACACACAATTTCACAGAGAGAATTCCAAAAAGATCGATCCAGTGAATACAAAAAGTTAAAATTCCACAATACACGCCGTCAGTAAATATACATGGACTATACCAGGAAAACAAACCACGATAAATTAGCGAAACGATAATTTAACAGTGTAAAAATAAATCCATAGAACCATAGGATATTTATATATTAAATTGATTTCAATTAATGTCGATACGAAGTGTTTTGAAGTAGTCACTGGTAAAAATACGGAGGTTAGCAGTACCCGGCCTGCTAATCTTTGTAACCTGATAACCTAGTTAGGTTTGTAAAAAAAAATTGCAGATATATTTACAGTGAAGAGTGTAATTATTGAAGTAAGACCTAAAAGTATATACTATTTACAAAAGAAGGATATTATATCATAATATACAGTTACAAGATTACACAATTTTCGCTATAGAATTAACGGTTGCTGTATATCTGTGGTCATTGCATATAAGTTGAAGATCTAGCTTACTGGCGTAAGTTGGGGCAAAACGAGACGGTGGGGCTAAATGAGACGATTATGCAATAATGCTAGTTTTCGGCGTATTACCGCAGGTTTTTGATCACAAGCATTACGGGCTCATAAACAAGCATTTTTCGAAGTTATTCAACGAGGTTTGAGGATTCAAAGCTATTTCACAGCGAAAAAAAATCGATTCTTTTGGATTACACTGAAGTTGGCGTCTCAAAATTGAGGTATGTTATTACTTAGCATATTTAGATAGTTTTTTATTCTGTCTAAAATACGGCAGCTAAGAAATATACTCCATTTGTTTTGTATACAAAAACATGTGGCCTTTCGTGTTAAAAGTGTATTTTGCTCATGTTGCTCTTTATTTTTATCATTTTCAGCCTTTGAATTCTCCCAAGTGCCGTGGGGCTAAATGAGACAGGCCGATTTTCTTACAAGACTATACACTTCTGTTTGCTTATGGGCATTATCGCTATCTGTTGTAATGTTGTAATCAATATATATGGTATATAAAGTA